AACTCTAGGCTTGAAATTATTTTCCCTTGGAATTTTGGAGGCATTGTAGATAATAGAGTTAGGTAACAATACATTTTAAAAAAATTTTTGAGATACAGTCTCACTGTGTTGCCTAGGCTAGAGTGCAGTGACATCATTACAGCTCACTGCAGCCTTAAATTCCTGGGCTCAAACAAACCTCCTGCCTCAGACTCTCAAGTGGCTGGGACTACAGGGTTATGCCACAACACCTGCATAATTTTTCTGTTTTTGTAGAGATGGGCTCTTGCTCTTGCTCAGCTTGGTCTCAAACTCCTGAGCTCACGTGACTCCTCTGTCTCAGCATCCTAAAGTGCTAGCACTACAAGTATGAGCCACCGTGCCCGGCTGGGACCTTCCCTTTCTCTTTAATGTTCTAAAATTAAGAATGATGAGTTCTGTGTGGATTTTGTTTTCAGACATTTCTCACTTGAGGAGCTACCACAGTCCAGAAAAGTCATGTCCTACGGCATTTTCTTGTATGAGTTCTTTGGTAATTTTTCCTTTCAGTGTTTTTTATTCTTTGTGAAATTCATCAGACACTGAACTCCCAAGACTGGTCCCTGGTTTCCCCATTTTCCTTCCAAATTCCATCTTCGAGTTTTTTTCTACTTCCTGGAAGTTTCTTTCTTTCTTTCTTTCTTTCTTTCTCTTTCTTTCTTTCTTTTTTGAGACAGTCTCACTTTTTTGCCTTTGGTAGAGTACCCTGGTGTCACAGCTCACAGCAACCTCAAACTCCTGAGCTTAAGCGATTCTCTTGCCTCAGCCTCCCAAGTAACTGGGACTACAGGCGCCCACCTCAATGCCTGGCTATTTCTTGTTGTAGTTGTCGTTGTTTAGCAGGCCCTGACCAGGTTCGAACCCGCCAGCCCCGACATATGTGGCCAGCGCCCTAACCGCTGACCAACTCACCGAGCCAGCTCTATTGTTTTTTTTTTCCAAATGTGTGTTCTTGCTTTCTGATCAACCCTTCTCCCCACTCATGTAGCACCCTGTTCTTGATTCATGAGTATGAAATCTCTAAGCCACGAAATCAAAGTATTTTGTCTGTTTATTTTACTTGGCTAGCTGCATTGTTTCCCCTGATCTACTCTTTCACTCTTGCTCTTCTACCCTTCTTTTCTTTATTTCTTTTTTTGTTTGCTCATTTTTGTCTTTGCCTTTTATTCAAGGGGCTTTCACTAAATATTTGGGAATCATTGATGATTTTTAATGTTTAGAGTGAGGTCTTAGAAAGCTAATTGAAAGATATGAATGTGGGGGGCATGTTTGCTGGCCTGTGTGTCTCACTCTGGGTTGAGCAGGCAGTGCACTGGCTTTTCACAATGGGTAGGACTTTCACCTAGGACTTTTTTTGAGATTAAAGTCTCACTTTGTCACCCGGGGTGGAGTGCTGTTGCATTACAGCTCACAGCAACCTACGATGTCTGGGCTGAAGTGATTCTCCTGCCTCTGACTCCCAAGTAGCTGGGCGTACAGGCGCCCGCCATAACCCCCTGCTATTTTTTGGTTGCAGCTGTCATTGTTGTTTGGCGGGCCCGGGCTGGATTCGAACCTGCCAGCTCATTTGTATGTGGCTGGTGCCTTAGCCGCTTGAGACACAGGCCCCGAGCCTCACCCAAGGTTCTTGATGTCAGTATATGCGGACTTTTTTCAAGGGTCTTTCTTTTTTTCCAGAGGAGTCACTTGGACTTCTGCCTGAAGGCTTGGCTTTTAAAGAAAAAAAAATTTGTTTTTTTTTTGTTTTGTTTTGTTTTTTTTGAGACAGAGATTCACTTTATCCCTCTGGGTAGAATGCCATGGCATCATAGCTCATAGCAATCTCAAACTCTTGGGCTCAAGCAATTCTCCTGCCTCAGCCTCCCAAGTAGCTGGGACTATAGGTGTCCACCAGAACTCCCAGGTACTTTTAGAGACAAGGTCTTGGTCTGGCGCAGGCTGGTCTACAACCTGTACACTCAGGTGATCCACCCACCTCAGCCTCCCAGAGTAGTAGGATTACAGGTGTGAGCCACTGTGCCGAGCCCTAAGAAAAAAACAATTTTTGTTTGTTTGTTTGTTTGTTTTTAGAAACTGGTTCTTCGGCTCGGTGCCTGTGGCCCAATCAGCTAAAGCGCCAGCCACATACACCTAAGGTGACAGGTTCGAATCC